TAAATAAGTCAGTAATTGGGGAAGACAGTGATTAATTGATTGATTAATTGTGCTGGGCTTCTACATAGAACTGTCATATGCCAAGTATCAGGGGGTTCATTCAGTGACATTAAAATGCAATCCCTGTTTTTAAATTTGGGAGATGGGAGAAGTTCCTAGCATATTCCAGTTCACCAGACCTCCAGTGGACCAACACAGTAGAGAAAGTCTATGGAGATTCTTAATCATCCAGGTCATGGTTATCCCAACGGATGACTGTTTTTTCCAAAGGATGACTGGACTTTCTTGGCTTTTTTTCCTTGAAAATGTTTCACTTTTCATCCAAGAAGCTTCTTCAGTTTTAACTCAGTTAGAATTTCAGTTAGAACTGAAGAAGCTTCTTGGCTGAGAAGCAAAACACTTTCAAAGACAAAAAAACAAGATTGACCAACATCCAGTTGCCTTTTTGAAAAAAAAAAAAACCACCTTTGGGACAGTGGAAAAGGCAAAAGAAAACAAGGGGAGCTTGCAGGAACATTCTGGGCTCAAGAGCTTCAGGGCTTAACCCTGATTGTTGCTTAGAAGTAAATGAGTTGCCAGCATGTGGATTCCATTTCAACACATAGAATATCTACGTGATATACAGCTAATATCATATATTTTAGGATGCCTTATATAGGAATCCAAATACGGTCATGCTTAAAATCAGCGGCACTCAAGATGGTCCTCATAAGATTAAGGCCTATGCATTTAGTAAGCCTACTTTGGATCTGGATACGGCTTACTATTCAGCGTCCTGCCAGTTTCACAACCAGTTTGAACTACCCAGTTTGAAGTTAAACTGAACGTGTTAAAAACAACAACAACACTATCCAAAAAAATCCAAGGCTTTTTCCTCCCAATGTATCAGTTCAGATGTACATATAAACCTAAGGACGATTCTTCAATATGAGAAATATACGTGAAGAAATTAATGGAACAGAATCCATCCTTGTGAACTATGGTTGCATAATGGAAATTGACTGCTATGAATGAACTCATACCCCAACGTTACGAACAGCAGAGCTAATGCCCCTGCAATGAGTTCATCTGATTATTGCATTACACCTGAATCAGTTGATAGACCAAGTTTTTTTTTTAAAGCTAGGCATGACATTTAATTGAATAAAAGTCAGTATAATTATATTAGGAGAAGCCAATGCTACTCCTGACAGCGGAAAAAGGACCTTGCCAGAAAGAGTGCCCACACATTTCTGCACATTGTTTGCCTGACAGATATTAAGGACTGGTTCATAGTTTAATCATATTACTGATAGCCAGCGCTGTAAACGATAAGTGAATGACCATGGCATCACTTTCTATTGATAGCCAAAGCCAGCTGCAACTTTGAACTCACCATCATCAAGGAAAATAAGCACCCACTTCTACTTGCAGGGAGATTTTTGTGATTCTGCATATGTGTTTGTGTCCCCAGTGCCTAGTATTCAGTAATTCTTGTTGTTATTCCCATATAGATCTAAGTGTTTGTCTTTGCCTGCAGCCAATGAAGGAAACTAAATAATAAACAAACTTGCTGCATTTACAGAGAAGGCACCCTGTGCTGCATTTTAGCAGGGGGAAAAAAAAACATTAATGTTTATCATTTCATGTAATCCACAGCAGAGCTCACGTACTGCAGTGAATTACAAATGTGGTTATAGGAAATCTAACTTCAGTTCATCCCTTAGCCCTAGAGACCTTTGGCAAAGCCCCCAATCTCAGTGTAAACCTGGCATAAATGGGATTGCTAAAGTACAATTCAGAGGACCTGTACATAACTTTTATATGACTTTTTAAGTTGCCCGTGTGTGTGTGTGTGTGTGTTGTTTTGTTTGTTTGCTTGTGACTTATTCAATGTACTCGTGAAGCTAAAATATTGTCCTGTGCGTCTCTAGAGACAATACAGGTTACAAGCATAACAACGGACAAGCTATTTGTATATAATAGTTGTCAATGTGCAACAAATTGATTTTATTCTGAAAAAGCATGCTGCCACGGCAGGAAGCTATGTCATATGGCTTATACATGGTGGAACCATTCCGCCTCTTTTGCATGATGCTATCAGAGGAGCAAAAACACATTTCATAGATATAACCCTGTGTTGTGCTGTTGAACACATGCTATAATTGGCAATGCAGCCCATATTCAGACGTTCACAGCAAAATGCTTCCAGTGTTTACTTAGAGATGTTTCCTTTGAGGTCCTTATCATGTAACAAATGGGCAAGTAATTCCCTTTCCTGAAAAGGCTTGAGGCTGTCCCTCTCTTGATCATTTATGTACGTGAACCCTGCATGAATCTGTTCAGAAGAAAAATGTGGGCAACTGTATATTTGCTTTTTTTCTGATTTGATTTATAGCTGTAGATTGTGTGGTTGATCCAGCAACCATCAGGACAACAGTGTAAGTAAGATGATGGGTGACAGAAAATGATCTCATGGCCAAAGCATTTTTAGCCTGTATTTTATTGTTTAAAGATTCTCTTTTCGTTTTTTTTTTTTAAAGCCAGATGTGACTGGATTGGAATGTGAATTTGTTCTCTTTCTTTTTCTCTCTGTCTCTTTCTTTCTATCTCCTTTTTTTTTTCCTCTCCCTCCCTCCCTCCCTTTTTCCCCTTCTGTCTCTGCCTTCCTCCTCCTTTTGTGATCTCGATTTAGCAAAAGATTAGAAAGCTGAACTTATCACAAGGTAAGCTCAGCCTTCATAAGTGCAGTTTTGGGGATAGTGTAACTCCCTTCTTTAATTAGATCAATACTACAATACTTGATGTGAAATGATACGTTCACTCTTGTGGATAAAGTTGCCTTCCCCCTGTCCACTCTCTACACCCATGGATGTATCTCTCAGTAGCTTTTTCTCTACTTGGGATCCAAAATTACCCATCCTTCACTTTCAATCCATTTTTAACTGTCTTCTTCCTAAGAAGAGTAGATTGTTAGCCTACTCTGCTATATTTAACGAATTAAATCAATCCTGACAATATACAAACTCCCTCTACAGTTAGATGGGCAGTTCAAAAATGTGAAAATAAAATAAATTTAAAAAAAATATAATGCACCGCCTATTTATTTGTCTCTGAAAAAATAACTTCATATTTCATTTTCTGACACAAGTGGGTACATTTTGAGATGACTAGTTGAGAGATACACAATTAGTGAATATATTATTGGAAAGCCAATGTGCAAATTACATAAAGAAATCTAATTGCAGGATCCAATCTAGATTGGTCCCTGAAACTAGAGGTTTATTTTTCCGAGCTTTTGGACTAGACTCCAGAAGCATGAGTCCAAAAGTTCGGAAGACTAAAATCTCTGGTCCCGGTGACCGACCCAGATTGGATCCTACAACATTATCCTGGGACATGTATATTCGCCTTCATTCGTGAGGAATCTAATTCCCTGATCTTTGGTTGATGATGCTTAGTCACCCCAATTCTGCAAGGGACACACCATGTGCAGAAGCAGTAGCCACCCAGCTGGCTAGCCACCCAGCCCAATTTAGATCCAAACCTGCCTCAGTTTTCCAATGCACATCTGAACATCAGGCAAACATCAAATTCAGTGTGATCTGATTTTGAAACTACTATAGAAGGGAAGGATAAAGGCATGTGTTTCCATCTACCTTGTAATGTGATTGGAAATGCATATTGCCAACCCTAGTCAGGCTGGAAAGCATTCTTGTGCATAGTAGCTGTAGCTGGATTGGAAACTGCATTTTGTTTAAAAAAAAAGTATATTAAAATCTTTTCTATGACTCAGTTGTACACCTGATCTTTGTAAATGTGCAGCTGATTTATATATGCCCTCTGCTAAAGTTCTGTATGGCAGGGCAAAGCTTGAGATTTATCCTGCTGTCCCATCAAAGTTTAGGAATTTATTTTGTAATACACAATTACTGCTTATCGGGCTGTGCATGTTGGTTCAGTACAGGTGACCTCATACTCTGGAAGCCCTGGTTTGTAAGATGTTGTGCCTTGCTCCCTTTCCAAATGTTTGTGCTGAATTGGAGTTGGGTTTAGAAAAAAAAAAAGGTATGGGTTTACCAGTGTGACTTGGCATGCAGTGTCATGGGCAGGCTGACTGGTAGAATTTGCACTGTAGACAATGACAGATAATCTTTGAAATGCATAAAGTTAAGAAGAGAACTTGCACAAATCAAAGTTTCAGGTTTTAATAGGAATATTTTGGCACATTTCAATATGTCTTTTTAACAAAATATACTAAGAACCGAAAACTAGTGAGTGAGAAGGAAAACAGAAATGTATCAAAATTATAATAGTTCCACATTTCTGCCCTAGGACTTTGATCATTTGTAAAGAGCTATATCTTCAACATAGAAACAAATCTCCCGATATGACTCAGCATGAATAAGTTCATAGTAACTGAGAAAGCCACACAGGAATTGCTATCTTATAAAATGGCGTCTTTTCTTTCCCTTCCAATTTTTTTAATTGTTTCATTCAGTTTTAACTAGACCTGCTCATAAATACTAGGTTCCCCCCCCCACACACACACACACAAACCTCTTTTTGGTAAGAGGATAAATCAGTTTAAGATTCTTTTCTAATTGCCCTTTGTTCCCAGTTGGTTCCTATGGTTACATGTATCAATAGGAACCAGTGGAGCCAACTGCTGTGATTTGATAAAGAAATTCCATTGAATACTCTCCCCATTAGTTCATATGATACCATGTTTTTGAAAAGAAAAGTAATAATCAGTCATACTGCCAATTAGCCTGATGCATAGTATGATAACCATATTAAAAAAAAGGGAAAAGAAATTGAATTAATCTGGACTTGCAGCATCTTGCCTTGCATTTATAGGAATGGTGTCCAAACCATCACGCTTGCGTTTCTAAGAAAAGAGCAACAGTTGTATTATTGCATGAACATGGTTATGCTTTTTATTCCATTGCTGAAGTTTGCATTATAATCAATATTGCATATTTCTTTCCTTCTCTATGTCTTTGCTCTCTCTTTCCCAGACACAGTGCTAATATAAATTTGCACCGTAAACTGTTGACCAAAGAACTGGATGACATGGGACTGGATTCTTCTCAGCCCTCCCTTAGCAAGGACCTCCGTGATGAATTCTTGATGAAGATCTATGGTGCTCCACCCCATTTGGGTTTTGATCTACGGGAAGACACCTCCTCCCCAGCAGGAACCGAGGACTCTCATTTGAATGGATACGGACGGGGCATGTCAGAAGAATACATGGTCTTAGATCTGAGCACCACCTCCAGCATCCAGTCGAGCAGCAGCATCCATTCTTCCAGAGAATCGGATGCAGGAAGCGACGAGGGCATCCTTTTGGATGATGTGGATGGGGTCAGCGACAGCGAGGAATCATCACACAAAACTGAGGCTGCAGCCTTAGGGGTCAGCTTGAGCACTGAAGTCCCGGGATCCCTCATGTTTAACAGCGTTTCCATGAATAACGGGGGGATCATGTGCAACATTTGTCACAAAATGTACAGCAACAAAGGGACTCTCAGGGTGCATTACAAGACAGTACACTTGCGTGAAATGCACAGGTGTAAAATCCCTGGGTGCAATATGATGTTTTCCTCGGTCCGCAGCCGAAATCGGCACAGTCAGAACCCGAATCTACATAAAAACATTCCCTTCACCTCACTAGATTAGTTCCGAGATGGACACGGTCAGTGCCAGCTCCAAAGTAAGAGCTTATACTTCTTCAAATTGCCATTTACAGACTCTTCTATAAATATATATAAATATAAATATATAAATATATATCTTTTTTTCTTTTTTAAACAAAACAGAAAACAGACCGGGTGCTGTCCTTTCCCCCTCTTTTTTTCCCCCCTGATTTTTGTTCCTTTGTTTTGTTATGTTTTTGTTTTGTTTTTTTAAAAAACATTATGTGGGTTGGGATAGCATCTTTAACCTGAGATAACATTTCCACTGCTTAAAAAAAAAAACACAAACAAACTTACCTTTTAAAACTCCCTTTTGTTATAAAATTTGTGGTCATCTCCAAAGAGACTTGTTTCTTCCATCAATGACTGTTGCCTGCAATCTTAGAAAAGGAAAGGAAAAAAAAAAGAAAAAGAAGACAACCCCCCCTAAAAACGAAGCACTGCGAAGATATTAAAATGAGAGAGAGAGAGAGAGAGAGAGAGAGAAAGAAAAGGACAACTTCAATTGTTTTTCTGTGTATTTTAAACCTTTGAGAGGTTCATCAACTACGCATGGCTGTTAACACTTGTATATACTGAGCCTTGAAAGGCCCATGATGTAAAACAATTGTATTGATGGTGGTTTAACCTTTTGTTTGTTTGTTTGTTTGTTTGGGTTTTGTTTTTGTTTTTTACATTTACATTTACATCCAGCTGTGAGATATGTGGGGGGTGGGGAGCGGGTGGGAATAGTTTGCTGGCTAGCTCAATTCATTTATATTAGCTTCAGTGCACATTTTTTTTTTAAGAAGAAGAAAACACGAGTTCCATTTTTAACTACCTGCTTAGAAACGCATAAGAGGAGGTGCTGGCATGCTTTAGAGCACCTGATTGGATACAGGTTTTCCTTGTTTTGTTTTTATTTTGGTCTTGTTAAGATTACATAAATCCAGTCATGCACTTTTTACTTACACGATGTGGGGATGTGTAATAATATCCATACCCTTTTTTCCCTTAAAAGTATTGCCATACTATCAGTGTCTTATTAAGAAGAGAAAAAAAAACTCTACCCTTTGTTCCACGTGGTGTCTGGTCAGTATGGCAGGCAAATGCTGAACAAAATGGTGTTTACACATTAACACACAAAACTGCCAACTTTGCACAAGTTTTCAGTAACCAAAATATTAATCGGCTGGTATTAACCACAGGCTAAGGTTGTGGCAGTGAGGAAAAACCAATCCTAGGAACTGGGGAGCAATGGAATACTATACCTAAATGTATTTCTCAGGTCCTAAAAAATATGCACATTCGCAAAGCAAGGCCACAGTTTTATTTTAAAAAAAAAAAATGAAAAAGAGGAGAAAAAAGAAAGCAGAACTTACTTGTTAAAAGACAACGGAGGCATTTCTTCAACTAAGAGAGGATGAACTTTTAGGAAAGAATTGCAAGCCAGCAACTGTGTACCTGGAAGTAAGTCCCATTACACTCGGGGGTGGGGGTGGGGGGAGGGCCTCCTCTCTTGGAGGCCTGCAAAAAATTGTATTGTGGTTCGCACAAAGCCACTCTTGATCTCTTCCCCCACCTAAAACGAATTGCCCTGCCAACGTTCAGGAAATGCAGTTGTATGATGTAATGCTGTTGAGTGTTTACCCACACCAGTCTGGCACACTTTCAGGATGTGTTGAAGCTCTGAAGACAATGGCATTATAAATCTTTTTTTTCCCCTCTCCTTCTGTCCCTGAAGAGATCAATAGAGCAAGGCTCGGGAGGGGTAGGTGAGCTTCTGGAAAGGCATGCATCTCTGTCACATTCCCTTTGTGCCTCCGTGACTTAAGAGCGGCTTCAGAATTCCTGAAACGAAGACGTTGTGTTCCTGACTGAAGACTTGAGCTGTGGTTGTCTTCAAAAGAGAACCCTGGCCTCCGCAAAGTTGACTGGTCCGCACTGGAAGGTGCAATAGACTGAGTAAGGCATGTTTTTATAGAAGCAATCAAAAGCCATTAATGGCGCAAGCACTTAAAGCTTGGAAAATATGCGTTGTTCATTTTGGTTGGAATGACCACACTTCAGCTGGGGGGGGGGGAATCCAGAGCAAATTTCAATGTTTTGGTTGCTTGTACTTTCCAAAAGTCATTTGTCAGAGAGAATCACAGGAATGAGCATCAAAGAATAAACCAGGGAGGATCTGTGCCCCACCCCATTTCGGTTGTTCCCGTTTCTGGTGTTTACACATGTTGTCTTGAGCGTGGCAAGCCACACTAGCAGCCTCCATAACCCCAACCTCCTGAGTGGATGATATTTGCTCAAGCTTGGCAGCAAAGATCACGATGGTGTGTGTCATATAACAGATCCTTTCTTAGAAGGATATACCTAAGGAGTATTTCCCCCATGCAGTATATTACTAATGCACAGAAAATGTTTTTCTTTCTTAGAAGTTTCTCCCGTAATTGCAAAACCAGAAATGGTTATTTGTTTTCAGCCTTCAAGTTGAACCAGTTAGATACTTTCCAACCACTGTTCATTGTATAATAACTCAGTCTGTTAATTTTATTAGAGGAAATGATTCCTCCTCTTCATTGGCCCCAATCCAACTATACAGTAGTTTGTGGTGACCAAACCCCCATTAAAGCCATGGGAAGAAATTGGTCACAGCTAATGTAAATCCTAACTTGATCATAAGTAGCTTGGTGCCTTTGTATACTAAGTATTTTCCCTTAACAACAAATCAAAAACAATAGTTGCAGTATTTTCCATGCAGTGTTTTCTTTTTTTAAAAAAACAAAAATACAGGGGGGACGAAAGCTTCCTTAATTAAAATGCCTTATTTCAAATCACATTTTTTTAAAATTTCAGTTAGTGAGCATAGGTCTTGACGTGATCTCCAGAATTCATAGAGGCTCTGGAAAAATACTGACCAGTTTGTCAAAGTATGTTTGTATCGAAAATATGTTTACATCAAAACCTCCACAATTGTTGCTGGCTTGATTTTTTTTTTCATTTGTGCTTTGTCTTCCACCCCCCCCCCCAAAGTCTTACTTTTTAAAAAATAAAATTGAACGGAGAAACGCTTTGTTTTGTTTTATGCTGCATAATATATCGTATGTTTGTGAAAGGGAACAGAGAAAGCAAAAGTGTATTCTTCTCAAACTTAATGACATTCACTAGCGCTATCTGTCCTGCAGGTGTGCTTTCAAACACTATCAAGATAGTAAGAACAAAGCAAGAAGAAATATTGACAAGGCAAAACAGATCTAAACGAATGGCTAAATGATATCTAAGGAACAAAAAGAAAAAAAAACACTGTTTTTGAAGTATGTATGGTATAAATAAATATCATTTTTAATGAAAAACATGCTTGAGTTCTATAAATAATTCTTTCCCGAATAAATCACTGTTCTGCATTCTCATTTTACGTTTGTTTCTGCCTAAAGGTCAAATGGCTTTAGTAAAGCAGACGGGGAAACTTAAACATCATCAATGAGGCCTTATTCAGCAAATAGGTTGAACAGACATCTGTTTTTTTTACAGAAAACGAAACAGGATGATAGAAAATTGTGAATCGGAAAAGAACAGGCACATGGTTTAGACGTTAGGATTCTTGTCTCCCAAGATTTTGAAGTATAGGAAAGAAGGCAATATGGGAATTCTAGACTGCTTATATCAACTTTAAAATTATTCATCATGCCTTTATGATCTTCAAATTATATGCTGGTTTGTGGAAGTGTGTATCCAAAGGTCTTTCTAGTCATGGGAATGCAGAAATTCTGTGAAACATTCCCTCCCTCCCTCTCCCACTCCCTCTCTCTTTCTCTTTGAGAGAAAGCCAGAATGTCAACACTTGAATCAGAATGTCATATTTCAAGCCCTGCTCTTATGAAATAAAGAAGTTGTGACATTTGTATGATCATATCATCATAGTGCATGTATCGTAGTTTGCCTCCCCATCTCCCTCCAATACATGATCATGAATATCATGTCCCTCCAATATATGATCATGATACGATATCATGAATATCAGTAAGTGTATAGTTTACTGGGCTGTTAGGACATGAGGGATGGGGTTAAGCTTGTTTAGTAGCCTTTTAATAGCTGAGTTTCATAGCATCTTAAGCTCTGGGTTGATTCATTTTAACCATTGTTTGGTAAACAGTCCATTCCTAGTTTTTCCCTTGTGTTTGTGTGTGTGTTTTTAGCTATATTTGCTTTACAATTTTGTGAATTGAACAGAGGCATAGCTTCAGCATGGAACCAAACCAGGAAATCACAAACAAATCACGTGGCCCCTTTTATGCCTTATACTAACCTACTTAATAAATCATTAAACTAACAAAAAAAAAACCATAGTCTTAATCTATTGACTGCAGCCTAAAACAAACTATGGACATTACCAAGTCTACCTTCAAGTTAATGGTTCAGCAAAATGCGTGAATATTTGTTTTGTTTATTTTTAACTAGAATTTATCTTGGAAAAAGAAAATCTAATGCTCCATTTCATTGGAGTTCTGTGATTAGGCATTCCAAATCAATTACCAAGAGGTAGGAAATTACTCTCCAAGGAAGATGCACTAGATTGTGTCCTTATCAAAGAGGTCATTTAGTTGGAATCAAAGGGATAAGAGGATCTAACCTTTTTACATGTTATTGGTATAACAACTTTTCAGCTTCCAACATAACTGATATAGTCTCACTGACCATGAACTTTTAACCTCTATCTTTGTTTATTTTTAACAAGTTTAATCTATTCAGAAGTTATATTTATCAAGTTCCATTGTAGTAAGCCAAGATTTGTACTCACCGCTAGTTTACACATGGAGTCTATTTACTGAAACCATGTATATTTATATTTACTCATATAAAAATCTAGAGCACGCACAAAAATTATCATTTATTCTTTTTTAAGAAAGCCCTGTCTCTCTAAAAAGGCTGAGTAAACCTAGAAATTGTGGCAGTTTGCCTAGAGACAACATTCCATGTTACTTGCATAAGTGGTACTAAACATCCTGCACACATATTTAAAAATATATTAAGTAGAGGGAAATATAATGGGAGAAATGCAATTTAACTGGTTGAAAATGAGGCTATCATCCTGTGCCATTTGAGAATAAATTTCACTGAACTTAAGAGGGCTTACTTCTAATAAGCACATAACAGATGAGGCTGGAAAAAGGACCATTTGGATAGCAGTATTACTGATATATATTTTAAAGAAATTCTGCCTAAGTTGATCAGGTTTCTTCTTCCTTTTTGCCTGCTCATCACAGGCCTTCTGCTATTGTGCCACAAAACAATGACAATGGCAAATAAATGAGCATGCAATATTGTTTCAAATGTCTTCCTTTTCATAGTGAACAATCAAACTAAAGCTAATAAGCCATCAAGTTCATTTACAGCTACATAACTAGGGACAGAGTTCTACCTTTGTCTTTCTCCAACACACTTTTTGATAGACATATAAGCTGTTGTGGTGAGAAAATAAGTGTCTGGAATGA